TTAAAGGTAATTATAAAAATGGTTTATTTCCCTGTTTTAGTAAGTCACTAGAACTTCAATCTCAGTGTTTAATTTTCCCCAACAGTTTAGCTATTTCCAAGAAAAACCACCATTTGAAGAGTCGTATTGCAGATAACAAGATATTATTGGCCTCTCTTTACCAGTTTTGGCAAAGGCAGATCCCTAACCCTGTCTAGCTGCTTCCCACTTCACATACATTAATATGCCAAAAGCCTTGATTTTTTTGAATCTCCCAATTATAAAATGAGAAACTCACTTCAAGCAAAGAGCAGTGACGAGAAGCCCAAAGAACCACAGATCTCCCCATCAAGTTACACTACACACAATATGAGCACAGACCCAGGTGACTTTTATGCTTCTCCATTTCTTTCCTTCCAGAATACCTGAGGATTACAGAGGCAACACTTCCACTTGGAAGGAAAAAAAAAATTTCTTTTTTAAATAACTGTAGTCAGGGCAAGAAAGGAAAACAGTATCTTTATTGTGTGTGGTTCTAACAAACATTCATTGTGTGCACATTCCACAGAAAAGAGACAAAGATCTTTGTTCAAAATATGCTGAAATAAAATAGGTAAACAAACTCCATTATTGAATACCAAAAGGAATGTTAATATTACTTGTTCATAGTCGAGGGTGAAGTCAAAATAACAGAAGTTCAAATACTTGAAATAATGTTTTGTCCAAATAGCAAAGGTGGGGTACAAGTGTGGGCAAAGGCAGCCTCTAAACCTCATGAGTAAAATGCTGGGTATACTCTCCACTTTGGAACGTCCCTCCTAGATCACCCCCTCAATTCTCGAACTTAGCACAACAGCCCAATGTGACTAAACTCCCCACAACTTCCGTGATAGTTGGCAACAGAATGAGATGGGTTTTGTTTTTTTTTTTTAAATAAAGATTCCTGTTGAGACAAGACATATCTGAGTCCATTTCTCCTGGGGTAGGAAGTAATGAACATCAATGTTCTGCATTTCAATCTCAATCTCCTAAAATGGAATTTAACCAGATAGGTATCTCTTGAGATTTGAAAGCCTGAGATACCATAAGGAATGACATGCCTGGCCTGCAAAGCATTTTCACTGCACCACACTGGAACGAAATGAATGTCTAAACAATGTTACTTCACAACATATGCATTTGTGACAACTGCTAAAAGTAGTTTACAGGCCTAAATGACAGGTTGCCATGGAGTTTGGTTTTTGCTTAAGTGATCACAGGGAGATCTAAACACAGTATAAACTCTGACCCCCACCACTTTCTTATCTTTACAAAAGGGGAAGTCATTTGGAAACCAAAACCAATTGCTAAGAGGGGCAAGGAAATTTTGGACAATGGGCACTAAACACTCTCTCTTTTGGGGGCACAGAATTTCCCACATCTGCTCTTTCTGTGTTTGGCAGCCATGATGTATGCGATATGGTGTGCGGCGGCAGCTACAATTCCTCAGGAATAAACAACCCTACACCCCAGAGACAGCTCCAGGGGGCACTGTCAGCCAGTGGGGACTGGCTCCACTTGCTCTCCAGAGGGGTTTTCACAACCTACCAATGTCAAGACTGTTTGGAGAATTCAAGTCTGCTTCTTAAACAAAACTCCTTTTTGGTGGACTTGGCTAGTGTACTGTATTACTTTATTGTTTAGAAAAAAACTCTGCAAACTCTTACACAAGCTCTACCTTTCACCTGGCTGTTTTTGTAGGCAGCAGAATAATAGTAAATGGGCCCAACAGTGGTTTTTATAATACAAAGTGACATCACATTAGCAGCAGTTCAAAAGGAGCCCTCAGTAGTAGGTGGATTTCATGGATGGTAGTGACAAGGTCTGAAAATCTTTTCCCTCTGGCTCTCGGTAAAAAACGAGTCTACACATAAACAGGAAAAGAAAACCAACATGAAGTAGAAAAACATACCTTTTCATTGGTGTTTACCCGGAAAAGATCAAAAACACCGACTTTACTTTAGACTATAGTTCTTTCACATTTCTTATAAGCCAGATATTTTTCATTCAGTTTTGCAGACTGCCAGCACACTTTTACAAATTGATTCAAGTTATCTTCTGGCTTTTAGTTTTAGCTCGAATGTTCCAGCTCCTCAATACTCCTTTGTTCTTTACCTCCAATGTACTCCGTGTAATTGTGTGACTTAATTATTACAGGAATCCTGTACCAATTCTATTCAAGTAACCCTTTCTTGCCTTTAAATGGAGGAGCATCAATTTATACCACTTTCATTACATAATAACCAAAGATTTTTGTTCAATAAATTGTCTCAAAGTGGCATCTCATAATACATACGAACATTTCTGAAAGATAAAAGTGTTACTAATACTAAGCCCATATCCCTGATAATAAAAGTCAAGTACACATGTCCTAAAATAACTCCAAAGTATATCTAAAGGTACAAGTACAAAGTTAATATTATTTAGATGAATTCTGAATTCATTCAACTGCTAAATCACAGGATGTAAGACCTGGGTTGAACTTTTTCTTAAATAGTTTGCATGGGCAGACTCTGGTTTGCTGGGCAGTTTCCTGTCTGGTCAAGCCCCTGGCCAACTAGAAGGGACAGAGAAGATACTGAGCAGCACCGGTGGGGCTTCATGAACCCATCTGCTCCCTGTTGGAAGTGACAATGGTTCAGAAGCAGACTGTTAATCTTCAACGGACGGGGAGAAAAATCACATCTGCTGGCAATGTGCTACCTCCATCGGTGCTTCCATGGGGGGGACATCAAACCAAATACACCAGAGAAGTCCCTGAACCAGTAAGAAACAGTGACATAATTCTAATAACCTCCTTCTTAAGGAAGCACACATCTGAGGAAAAAACTACCAGCTTTTTTTTTTTATTCTCAACGGAAAAAAAGAACAAAATCACACGTTGGAGCCACAGAGGTAAAAATACAGACAAAATGGGTAATGGTCTCTTGTCACATCTTCTACTTCCAAATACCATTTAAACAGAAGTTATTTCACTGGGGCAAACAGGGAGTCAAATTGGAGTCTCTTACTTGTGTAAATTATAGAATCAAAAATTTGCTAATCAATACACAAAAAAGCAGCAAAAATCCCTGATAAGCTTTGCAGACATAATTGTACATTTACGTTTTACCAATAAAAGATGGCCGGGGAAAGAAAAGAGTTGGCTACAAACTGGTGCCAAACCAAAGCAAAAGCTTTGGTGCTTTTTCTAAACCCCTATCCTAAAGTAGTGTTTTTCAAGGTTTTTTAAAAGAAAGAAGAGTACTCTGAATTCATCAGGGTTCTAACACTCCAGTTCATCCCTTCCTTTCCCATATCTCTTTCTACCTCCAAGAAATAAGAGGGAAATAAAATTTGGTCCAGCACCATTTGGGAGGCAAAGGGCCTGGACTTAGGGGGTAGGAAGAGCTACCTAGCGCGGGAGGGAGGAGATGACCACACAGTTCTTTGTAGTTTTAACAAACAGAAACAAGATCATTTGGCAGTTATATTTTAGGTAATAAGTACACACCTTTACTTCATAATTAAATCCCTTATGATAAATAATAGGATTAAACCAGAATTTTTAAAAAAAATTTACTTAAAAGTTTCAACATGAGACTCCTGCCTTGCTAAGAGTATCTAATTAATGTGCATTATTCAAAGTATTGACAAGCAGGCATTTTTACCAAAGAGCAATGTCACTACAACATATGAATTGCAATTATGAACAGAAAGTTTTGAAACATAAGGACACTCGTGGAAGCCAGTGAAGAGAGCAAAGGCTGACAAGGACACAGAATGGTGAACAAGTGCTTTGGGTGTAAGGCTCTGAGAGGTGAAAGACACTGGTCCCAGACCTGACACGGACGTCTAACCGACTGTCTGGACTCCAAGGGGGAAGGACACAACTGGCAGGATTCAAGGAAAGGGCATTGCTGCAGCCCCCACGCAAGTCTCTAGGTTCACTCCCAAGTGG